TATTAATATATATATGTATATATATATATGTACGTCTTTTTCTCTCTCTTTTTCTCTACTACACCGAACCGAATCTACTGCTATTCTGCGCGCCTCTGATGCTCGAATGTGCCTGGTGGACAGCGGCACAGGACAGCAGCTGAAACGCAGCCACGAGATCGCGAGTTGTGAGTCGGACAGGTCCGTCTGCCTGCTTGTCCGCTTGTTCTATCGTTCGTCCCTCTCTCCGCTCCTTTTCCTATTCTCTCACTCTACCTTTATCTTTTCTCCTCTTCTCTTTCTCTCTCGTTAGTCGTTCGATATCCTTTACTCTCTTACGACGATCTCTATCGTTCTGTCGTTCTCTGTCTATTCGTCTCTTTTCTTTTACCACTGTGCAATGCGACTGTCTTTCTCTACCTATCGTTCTTTCTTACTCTTTCGATTCAACGGGGAACAAACTTAGCTTTCTCTCTTTCTCTGTGTTTCGTTCGTCTCTGTTGACGGTAGTTTTATCCTTGCTCGTGGTTACACTGCGTCGTGGACCACGTGACTCTATAAAGCTTGCTTCTATTGGTTCTAACCCCTCCACCACGCTTCGTCATTGCCCGTCTGAAATGCACCGCGTTTCTGCGTTGTGTGAGTGCATGTCATAGCACGCTGTTTACTTCTGTTGAATAGAGTGGTCGGTTTCTACACGTTTTACACGTTCGACGATAGGTTCACACACAGTGTGGTAAAGCTGGGTTTGTTTCGAGTTGTCCGGTGATAGATATATGCGCGAGCGAAGATAATGTTACAATTAATAGGTAACCTATATATTTTATCTTATTAGCAAGATTTTGCGCTGCGTTCGGTGCATATTTTTTTTTCCATCTTGTTATGATCGTATAATAGTATGTATTAAGATAGTTGTGTAATGTATGTAACTCAACGTACCATTATGATTAATATTCCAATCATATCGAAAAGTTATCGGAGAAAAATGGCACGTTAATACGATTGCATATGTAAGAAATGTGTCGTATGTATATTATGTCTTGAAATGTTAAAATAAATTCTTGTGAATTCCGTGTATATGTATATATGTTGTTTAATAATTTTCTTACCCACCCTTTTGTGTTGTATTTTACTTTAATACTGAATGATATGTGTACCAATATGATTTGCGATTGCCTTGAATTTATCTACACTGCATTTGATAACCAACTCTACAAAAAACTTTGTTCAACATAACTCAGCTGATTTATAGCAATAACCAATCAGATAATTTCGCTAGAATATTAGATATGGCTACAGATTGGCGCGTTTTTAATTCTAAACCAACTGCGTTTTGATAGATAAATGTTAGACAAATTACAACTATACTTTGTGTACTTTAAGACGTAAAACAATAGTATTGCGCAGTATGACTTAATAATCACAACTTGTTTAGTTTAAAAAGTGTTATTACGATCTTACATAATTATTAGTTTATCGTTATATGGTGTAAATTTTTATAAAGAGAATATGGATGAGTTGAGTCCGTCGAAGCGTAGAAAAGTATTCGATCTTTTAATCCATCGTGACATTTAATTTTAACAAAAAACGCATTCGACTTTTAAATAATTTAAATGATGTTAAAACAGAATGTAAGGGAATTCTATATTGGATGTTTCGTGATATTAGAGTAGAAGGTACATATAGATATATTTAATACACAGCTTTAAAAATGCTTTTAATATTTTAAACAATTTTAACAATTTTAGATAATTGGGCTTTGCTTTTTGCCCAAAAAACTGCCTTAAAACATAGTTTACCACTTCATATATGTTTTTGTATAATGCCAAGCTTTCTCAATGCTTCTACAAGGTATTATAAATTTCTTCTAAAGGGATTAATGGAGATTGAAGAAGAATGTAAAAAATTAAGTATACATTTTCATCTTTTACATGGTGAACCAAATTTGAGTGTACTTAAATTTATAAAAACATATAAAATGGGAGCTGTGATTACTGATTTTTATCCATTAAAATTACCTATGTCGTGGATTGATAATGTACAAAAGAATCTTCCTAAAGATATTCCTATTTGTCAAGTAAATACAATTTTAATTAATGATTTAGGTAATAAGTAATCTTTTGATATATGAAAAGACATTTTATTAAAATAGGTTGATGCTCATAATATTGTACCTTGTTGGTATGCATCATCAAAACAGGAATATGCTGCCAGAACAATCAGAACTAAAATAAATACAAAACTGGAGGAATTCTTAACAGAATTTCCACCTGTTATAAAACACCCGTACTTAACAAAAGAAAAGTTTGAAAATAACAATTGGGAAATAGCTTTGCAAAATGTACAAGCAGACGATACATCAATAAATGAAATTACATGGGCTAGGCCAGGATACAAAAATGGTATCAAAGAATTAGATTGTTTTTTACAAAATCGTTTGAAAATGTATGCAGATAAACGCAATAATCCTTTATTAAATACTATCAGTGATTTATCACCTTGGTTTCACTTTGGCATGATATCAATACAACGTTCTGTTTTGGAAATAAAAGAATATAGGAAATTGTATCCAAAATCAGTTGAATCATTTATGGAAGAGGCTATTATTAGGAGAGAACTTAGTGATAATTTCTGTTTCTATAATGAAAAATATGATCTTGTTGAAGGAGCTCACCCTTGGGCAATAGAAACATTGAATAAACATAGGTAATATGTCCTATTTATTATAAATAGTGTGCACAATTTATTAATAACTTATTACATTCAGAAAGGATAAGAGGAAATACATATATTCTTTAAATCAATTAGAAGACTCTGAGACTCATGATGATTTATGGAATGCATGTCAATATCAAATGGTTGCAATAGGAAAGATGCATGGATTCTTAAGAATGTATTGGGCAAAGAAAATATTAGAATGGACTGAAACACCTGAAGTTGCTTTGAAGTGGGCCAATTATTTAAATAATAAGTACAGTATAGATGGTTGTGATCCTAATGGTTATGTAGGTCAGTTCCATATCTATATTTTTACAATGACTGTTTTTTTACTTTAAAGCAATGACTATTTATTTTCTTAGGTTGTATGTGGTCTATATGCGGTGTACATGATCAGGGTTGGAGAGAAAGGGAAATATTTGGAAAAATAAGATACATGAATTATGAAGGATGTAAAAGAAAATTTAACATTGCCGAATTTGTGAAAAAATGGGGGAAAAAAAAGTGTTGAACATTATTATAATTCCAAACATTTATTTATTCCATTTTAAAAAGTTTTCCATATAAAGTACAAAGTATTTTTGTCGATGCTTATTATTCCTAATAATTGTCAACGATCGTCAACATTTTATATCATTGCATAATGATGAAAGTGAAGCAGGAACCGCGTCTAATGAAACTAAAGAAAGTGAGGCTGCTTTTAGAGCCAAAGAAAGACAAGTAGTTTCATCGAAATTTTTATGAATCCCATAAATTATTCCAGCAGTAAGACAGTCGCCACAACCGCTTACGCTTAATGTTTCATTTGAATCGTCGGAAATATGAGATAGAGGCGGATATAAACGAGAATTGATCACAGTATGAGCAACCAATTTACCTTCTTTATCATAAAAAGGATCATTTCCCAAGGCTTTACGAACGACCTATAAAGAGCAGTATTAGTTGTTAATCGAATGTTATATTTGTACTTTTTCATGCTTGTTACAATTAATATACATATATTTACCAATACTCCTTCTGATCCTAATGTACTTATAACCACTGGTATAAATTCAGCTAGTTGTTCTGCAATTGCTTTCACTATTTCTATGTCCATCGCTAATTCATTGTCAGGTACTGGTATGCCAAAATATTTTCCAATGACTGCCAGTTCATTTTTATTTGGAGATATAAAGTGCAAAACATTTTGCCATTGTCCTTTTGCTTCAAATAGTGTTGTTGCCTTTAACGTATCCGTAGGTTCATACCAAACTAAAATCAAAATTTTAAATTCTTTATATTTAAAATATGCATATGTACACACAAACTGTTATAATATAACTATTTAATACATTAGTCGAATTTCTTAGTATATTAATTTAATCTTTCAATACTATTTAAATGACGCCGCCAGAATGATTAAATGCATTTTCAGCAACGTGGCGCGCTACTGAGCACTAAAAATTTGTCGCGTGAGTTCGACGTCTAGTGAAGCTTTATTTCATTGAAAACACGTTTTTGTGTGTCGTGTGTGTGTGCGCGTGTACATATTACAACATAACCACACGCTGCACCGAACAAGAAAACAATACTTTATTATTCGTAAACAATAAAGTGGAAAACAATTATTTGTGATATCATTAAATAGAACATTAAACAGTACATAATGGGTAAAACTCGGAACGGAAAAGCTGCTGTTATATGCACAGCAATTGCATTTACTTTAATTGTGATAGCATTCACCACACCCAATTGGCTAGAAACAGACGGAAAATTGGAAAATCCAAAATTTATTAAGATCGGTAATTTGATTTAAAATACTTCTATAACAGTGAGGAAAAAATTATTTAAATTTTACATCTTGTGATATCATTATTTGTTATTATAGGATTATGGCAGGTGTGTTTCCAAGGATTTGAACATCCACATCATTTGTATGACACTAAGTTTTATGGTTGTTGGTGGGTGTTTGAAGAAGAATATTACATAATTCATGACATCCTTCTGCCAGACTTTTTTGTTGCAACACAATTCTTTTTCACATTATGCCTGACTTTATTATTGATAGGAGGTTTCTTAACTGTATTATATACATGTTGCTCACAACATCATGACAAATATCAGTTGCTCCTGTGGACAACTGGTGGAAACCTGGTACTAGGTGGAATATGTGGCATCATAGCTGTTATAATATTTGGTGCACGAGGTGATAGTAGAGATTGGATGCCTAACTGGGAACATAATGACATTAGCTGGTCTTATGCATTAGCTGTAATAGGAAGCTTTATTTTGATCATAGCAGGTGCACTCTTTCTGATTGAAGGCCGTAGGCATAGAAAGAAACTAGACAGAATATTAAATGAAGAACAAAAGACACACACAACTATCTAAACTAAGCATAGTATTCATTAACCAGGAAAATAAATGTATGATAAATTATTTGCAATATTGAAGATCTGCACACAGCTCCTTTGCGAGTTTAAATATATTTTATGTAGATTTATTTTTTTGTAAGCTACACACAAACTTTTTGACAACTCTCATTGTATACTTTAATATTTATATTCATTATTTACATAAGTATTATTTACATTATACACAACCATCCTTTTTAACTTATAAATGCAATAATTTTTTATGTATTTTTCATGGAGGTAGGAGATGATAATATTGAAGAAAGTATTTTATATATCCTTGTAATGAAAATGTTTAACACAAACAATTGTGTATCTCTTGTTTTGTAGAATAATTAACGCTAACGAATCCGTCCAAAGAAATAAGAGATTTTATGAGAAGACTAAGAGTCTGTAAATAACTAGTAAAATAACTAGCATGGCCTTAATATGAACAAATGTTATATATTTGTTGTAATCTTTTATATCAGAAAATTGTATGAAAAGTTAAAGAAATAAAGTAACTTGTTCAAAATTCTCTCACTTTTTCCTTATTTACATTGTCTTTCTGTAAAATTATTTCTTGACAAAGATACATGCGTAATTAATAAACGGTGTATTATCTACGAAATTGTTACAGAAAAATAATTAAATTGTAAAGAGTAAACACGGTCAAGTCGTGTTCCATTTTACTATCGGAGGAAATAATTCAACGTGAGTTACGACTAAGATTGCGTGCACGAAGATCGACGTCAGGTGTGAGTCGTTGACCCAGTTTAGTTCCTATTTTAATCAGCGACTTCTACAATTTCGCGTTCTATATCGATCACACCTGGAAAACGTGTGACTATCGGTTTCGTATCATCCTCTAAAATTTAATAACATTGCAAAAGTGCAAAAACATTAGTTAACCAATAGACATGCATATGACAAATGATGAATTTTGATCTTATTATGATTCATCTTTTTCACTGCATTTTTTACTCTTCTAATGACATAATTAGGGCGCTACTTTAATATACTAAGTCATGTGAATTGCACCTCAATGAATCATAAGCGAAATAGCGGAATAAGTAACGTTTCTGAGAATCTTAACTAAAGATAATGGGTGTGGATTAAATAAGTATACAAAATTGAGCAGATTGAATTATTTAGAGATTTTTTAAATATTTTAGAGATCTATTTTTCAACTTAATTTTCTTTAATATTCAATTTGTAAATTGCATACATTTAAATTATTGAAAGATCTCGATGTTTGAAAAGAGATGCTTTTAGTAATGCAAAATACGTTTCAGGATTTCCGTCTTATTCACAATCCAAGCATTCAACATTATACAAATAATTCAGATAAAACGTCAATGATGCAATGTCGTTACAATGGAAATTTGCATAAAAACTTTTAAATAGACAGCGTTTCCCATTTGAAGACTTCACACGTTATCTTGCAGTGCCAGAAATAAATTATTATTAAATATTTAATCGATATAAATTTTTCAAGACTGTAAGAATACAAAAGTTTATAAAATTGTTAGTTAAACGATTGCTTAATAATACGTTTAGACCATTAATAATGTCGTTAACTTTTAGCAGTACTAACATTAACGAGTAACGTGTTATATTTAAATTTTATATTCGATAATGAAAAAAGGTGTTTTATTAAAATTTTTTAAATATTATTAACATGTTTGGTATTTTAATCATACATTGAGAACCCTCTTCTTGTAATAACTGCTAGTTTGTACTCGTGAGATACTCACGGTTTTACAAGGTTAGGTTAGACGGTACGCTACATGGTCACCACACAACATAACGTGTTTGGGTGTGGTTAATACCGTGGGATCTTTACTGGATCAGTGGATTCAGATTGTTTGTCGTACGCACTATTCTACGTCGTGATTTCCATCGTTCACGAGACGATTTTTCACGATGAAGAAAAGAAGCTTTTCCGGCAATGCTGGTGTTGGTGTCTTTATCGTTGCTTTCGTGTGTGTTTGCGTTGCATTCGGTACACCAGCATGGTTAGTTAGTGATTATCGTATCACTGGCGCGAAACTTGACAAATTAGGGCTGTGGACGCATTGCTTTAGATCATTGCCAAATCCTCAAGAAATGGACGCTCCGAAACGGTTTTTCGTTGGCTGTAGATGGGTCTATGATCCTTTCACTGCAGGATATTCTGACATTCGTGGTTTTCTTCTACCTCGTAAGTTTCTCTTTTTTATCTTCATCAGAGTGCTCATGGATTTATTGATATGACACATTAGTTTCTTTTATTCATTAATGTTTGAATTTTTGTTACAGCATTTATGATAGCAACACAGTTTTTCTTTACTCTATGCTTCCTACTGAGCCTTGTTTCGTTTGCATTGATATTACTGTTCACCCTATGCTGTGATCCAGAACAAAAACGTTATGTACAACTTATTATGACAATTGGAGGGCTAATGCTTCTTGGTGGCATAAGTGGTGCATTGGCAGTAATCATATTTGCCTGTTTGGGAAATACTCAAGGTTGGATGCCAGGACATACAAATAATTTCTTTGGTTGGTCCTTTGGAATGGCAGCTGTGGGTAGTGTACTGACTATCATAACAGGTGCATTATTCCTTGTTGAAGCAAATGTTCAACGTAAAAAACGAGAGTATTTGAAAGAATCTCAAACAAGATTCCAGCTTGAATCTCGTACATGAGTAGAGTATCTTTATTATAAGACTTGCACACAACATTTTAGTACCAAAATTTTGTAATATTCCGTCCATGTATTAGGTAGTTTTTAATAATGGTAGAATATAAGGCAAGATTTCTATTACTTTTAGTACAAAGTATGTTATGAAACAAGATTTGTATTTTTGTACGTTTTATACATACAGGATATGTAGGATATGTAGTACAGAGAGCTCTCTGTATACTCATTTTATTGTTGTTTTGTTGTATATCAATATTCATGAGAATTAAAAAGAGTGCATAAAGCAAAGGTATTTTAAGCCATACATGAAGTCAGAGTTTATGGAGATATATTTAAAATCAATTATTTTAGCAAAGGAGGAACAATCTCAATTATGTCGAATAAAAAATATTTTAGGTAGATTGTTAAATATTGTATAAATTTTACAATGCAAACATCCACTGCCAGTGATAAATTTACATGTATAACAAAATTTGCAAAGACTTGCAATTTACATACACGATAATACTAATGTAACGATAAGTAATAATTTAATTATCCGTCCGTAAATATTAACTTCGAAGAAATTGTTCTTAATTGAGCACAATGCATCAGTTTTTGTAATATATCTTTACTTCAATAAAAATGAAATGAAATGTTCAAAATAATTATTATTTCTAAGTACGTAATCCCATTTTCATTCACTAAAAAAAGAATTGGGTTTAAAACGATAATCATGTCAAACAATTTAAGCGTTTGTTTATTTAGAACACGAGCTGTTTGAGAACCTCTGTTTTGTCTTACAGAGAGCCAACTTGTAGCATGTCAAATAAATTATATTGTTGGCAGTACTGAAACGATGAAAGGTGTGGCAAATTTACGAGAAAGAAAGTATTTTTGGAGTTAATAAACAAAGGTTTTGTTGAGGTAGATCAGTAATCTTTACAACAGCAATAAGTAAATCGATATGTCTGTCGATAAACAAGAATATCATCGCGCGTCAAGTAAGCGATGTCATTGTTTAGAGCTGTATTGTTGCAAAAGTATTCTTCTTAACCTCTGTTAACATTTTATTTATGCTTTTTAGACGCGGTAGTGTTTGGTGGAGTAATTACATATATTGCAGGTTTATTACTGGTCATGGCATTTACAAGGTAATAATAAAACTTGTCATATAACGAAAATTTGTGAGAAAGTGTAACTCTTCAAATACTACTGAATATCTCTAATTTAATATTCTTCATAGATATTCATTGTTTTTATAAGTGTACTCTAATTGTTCAATTTAATTTTAGCCCCTACTGGATTGAATCTTATAGAGAGACATTTAGCAGTTTCAAGCATATGGGACTATGGGAATATTGTTTTGAACAATTTAGATATCCGTATTATCAATTTGACAAACAATTTGATGGATGTCATCACATTTTCTCAGAAGAATATTACGTTATTCGAGAATGGTTACTACCAGGATGGTTGATGGTGGTGCAAACATTTGTCACACTTGCCCTTTTACTCTCATTCTTTGCACAAGTTGTGATTGCATTGACCTTAGTCCGTTGGCCTTTGAAGTTTGTATTAAATTATGAATGGCTCCTCTCAGCATCTGCTTTCTTGTGTTGTGCTATAGCAGGTAAATGAACATTTTCCCAGAAGAACATTAAAGTAATACAAAAAAGTATATTCATGATGTTTAAATTTCAGGCACAGTATTGTTCCTAGCAGTATCAATATTTGGAGGACAATGTTGGCGTAGAGATTGGTTAATGTATCCCAACTTTAACCATTTGTCATGGTCTTATGCCTTAGCAGTTATCTCATTCATGTTCCATTTGTTTGCTGCATTCTTCTTGTATCTAGATGCAAGGGCCGGTTATCGATTGCGCAAAGAATCTCGTAATTTAGTGATGCAAATGCAGCCTAATCCACAGACTCATCAAGGATTACAAAGAGGGGGATATATATAATTTATATCCATATCCCCATAGTGTTCAAGAAAAATTTGATCGCAGACCGATTTTTAATTACTTTTAGTCGTATTAATAACGAAGTAAAATTATAGATCTGCTTTCGAAGTCACTTTAACTACATGACATTGTAGCGTAAGCGAGTTTACGTGCGCACATTCTCAGCGTCACTATAAGGAAACTTGCACTAACAAGTTCAACGAATTATTAAAATTAAAAGATTACAGATCTTGATTGTTATCACTGTAATTATCATTTTATATCGTAAACATTAAAATCATTGTATCAGATTATATATCGTTCTACACTTTGATAGTACAATCGGCACCACGTGAGATTAACGTTCCAACAAATAAATGCAAAAAGAATGAAAAAAAAGCAGGAAAGGGAAGAAGGTATATTAAAAAAAGATGTCACTTACCTGGAATTTTTGAGGATGCTGCAAGGTCCAAGACGTATCGAATCGTCTCAAACGGTAGATTTCCATCGAGAATAATAAAACTGGCGTTCTCCACGTACGATTTATGCTTCTTCACTACATCTGCCTTGATATTAGCGAGCACATCCATCTCACTGATTAACAAACGACAGTCGCCTCTGTGGTCTATGATCACTGCACACCTTTAATCGAATACAAAAAGAAAAAAATTTATAAAGATTTCGTTGTACGTGTGCGCGTGTGTGTGTGTTTACTCACGTAACGGAAAGGAGGAAAAGAGGTTTCTTCTAAACGCGCGAAAGATCGAATTTGAAGACTGCAAAAGAATAGCTAATTGTAAATCGGTGACAAGTGGTCTCGAGTGGTATCCACGGGGTCAATGGTTATCCCGATTCACCATTCGCTACAGAAACCAATACTCGTCAGTGCCGATGACGAGCTTTCACCGTCTTCAGATTCAGCGTTGCACAAGAACAATCCTGCACCCTCGTAAATGTGCCTTGAACGAAGCTCCTCGAGCCTCTACATTAAACTTCCAATCATTGAATCGAACTCATCTCGAACATAGAAATCTGTTTCATTTTGTAGATAAGAGAGAAGTCTTAAACGAGTAATAAAAATTCAACTCTGTAAATTCATATGGATCAATTTTATAGATCTCGCTGTCTCTATTAACTTTCTCTGTTATTCATCTAAAGTATTACCTTTTCAGATCTTAACAAACGTTCAATGATTGGAAAGGGAACCTAAGCTGAACCAATATATCAATACCTGAAGTAACTAAAACGTCTTGGCAATGTATACATATCAAACCTCTGTATAATCTGTTCTGAATAAAAGAGAAAAAAAATCGAACCTACGATCTATGCGTTCCACGTATAAGTAACGATCATTTTAACGTCGCGTATCCGATACCTCGTATCCAAATAATTATAGTATTGTAAAAAAGAAGAAAGAAAAGAGATGAATTGTTAAGATAGATAATTGGATGTTCAAAGTGGACGATCTAGAATTGTACAATTGATAGATTGGCGGGTAGAAGTGTACGCGTACCTAGCAGTATTCATATTTGACAACTGCTCGACGGTGTGGCCACCATCATCTCCTAGACTTTTAATTATAGCTTTCCCAGGCTGGTCGTTACCAACGGCGGATATTAACCGAGTAGCATTCAGACCAAGGCTGATCAAGGAATTGGCGATATTTCGTCCGACTCCGCCGCAACTTTCTCTGCTTCTACCAGCGTACATTCTACCATCGTTCTGAAAGAATACGTCGATTATTGATCCGGAGTATGGAAAAGATGCGCCGCTCTAATCGCGCCTCGAATACACCCGGGCTCGATTGATCGATCGTCTACGAATTCTACGATGAAAGCCGGTAAGTAAAGATCGCAAAACGAACATTCTACTCTTTCTCTCCCTCTCGTCTCTCCCCATTACAAATTTTCACCTCTTTTCATCGGAAACGTGTCGAAAGTGCGTTAAAAAAAAAAAAAAGAAGCAAATCCGTACAAGCTCGAGGAGTAATCATTTTCACGAAAATGAAAAAAGAATTCTGCGTATCGCAAATTACCGCGAATATGCAAATTTACATTTTTTTCTTAAAGGAAGATTCTCGGTAATACTTGCGGAAAGAAATTTGAAAATTTATTCGCGATATTGGAATGAGAATAAGTGTGTCGCAAAATGAATTCGAAAGTTTCGTTTAAATGCTAAGTAACTGTTGCGTTTTATTAATCATCGTAGCTCGATGGACGAAAAAAAAAGAACCAGAAGAAGGTATTTCTAGAGAGCGGGGGATAGTTTAATAATACACTTGCTGCTTAAATCGATCACTATTTAAATGTCAAGTTAAAAAGAAACAATTGTGCAAATGTTTTTCTCCACCCGGTTGTACGTAGAGGTTTCGATTATTTTACAGGTAGGCGGACTGCAAAGCCGTTGTCGATCGTGACTATATCCATAACACGTGCCGCGTCTCGAGGACATCACGTTCGAGGGATTAATTTTCCCCGCGTCAATGCCAAGAATAAATACGGGTGAAAAGCGGGAAAAGAATCTTTTTCAACGAGATCACATCGACGAGCTCTGCGCTTCCATTCCAGGTGCAACCCTTATTTTTCTTTATTTTGTCGCGCGCGATCGTTCAATTGCAGGAGAGAGACAAGCATTCCCGTTCGAAGGTACTTGGAGAAATTATCGAGCAGAAAGGCTTGACACTCCGTATTTGAAGGAGCAACCCCTGTACTTACACCCACAGAGACAGTGTATTTTTCTTTCTCTATAGAATTTCTCTTTTTACAACCCTGCTAATTATCATTTTTATACACGCCCACGCACGTTTATTCACCACTCTCTCTCTACCCCGTGATTTTTCTCTTTTTCTCTACAACCCTGCTAATTATCATCTTTATACACGCCCACGCACGTTTATTCACCACTCTCTCTCTACTGGGTGATTTTTTTTTCTTTTAACGATCTCTCTTTTTTTTCTTAACGCTCTCTCGTTTCTCCATCGGAGCCAGGAGTCTCTTAATCATCTCCGTCACGGCTCTCTCCTTATCTCTCCGTATCCCCTGCACTCCTCTCTACAGTGTACACTTTCGTTTTCCCTCTTATCGTATGATTTACCTTTCTCACTCGACTCTTCGTAAAATTATCCTTGTCAGCCCCCGCGTATCTTTTCACGAACAGACCAACCTCCTGTATCCTCCTACGTGTATACCTTACTTTCTTCAACTTCGTTAGGTATCGTATCTAACTTTCTCTTTTCAAATTCTCCTTTCAACCGAGGTTCCGTATCTCTTCCATGCTCGACTCTGTACTCTCCTCTTCATCCTTGCCACGTGTAATACACCACCGCCACTCTTGTTTCAGCGTTAGAACGTTTCTTTTCCTCTATCAGAGTTCACTTGCACTCTTCTGTCTCTCTCTAGCTTTCTAGGTTATCACTGATATTCCAGTTATTTCTCTTTCTCGAGAGAGAGAGAGAGAGAGAGAGAGAGAGACGTTTGATACGTTGTCTCTTTCGTTCGTTGTCATCTGTTTTCCATCTCTCTCGAGCTTTGGTGGGGATTAAGTTTGCATCCCTCGCTGTACCTTTCCCTGTTCAATTCACGTTCCTTTGCTCTCTCTCTCTTAGATTCTGAATCTACCATCTCTCTCGAGCTTTCTTCCTGTCGGTGTTCCTCTCTCTGTTAAATTCACGTTTCTACATCCCCTCTCTTTAATTCACGGTACACTATTCCATCTCTCTCGAGCTTTCTCCCTACCATTCCTCTCTCCGTTCAATTCACGTTTCTTCATCCCCTCTCTCAGCTTCTCGATCCGCCATCTCTCCCGAGCTTTCCCCCCACCACTCGCATTTCCCCGTTATTCCTCTCTCTGTTCAATTCACGTTTCTTCGTCCCCTCTCGCAGATTCCCAATCTACCATCTCTCCCGAGCTTTCTCCCTACCACAATTCACGTTTCCCCATCCTCGATCCACCATCACTCCCCACCACAATTCCCCTTCCCTCGTTCCACTTCTCCATCCCTCTCGAGCTTTCACCCCACCAACGCTCACACTCCCCTCTCTCCCCTCTCCGTTCACCCCGTGTCTCTCCTCTCAGATCTTCGATCTACCGTCTCTCTTCGATACAGCGGGAGCTCTCACCCTCGGGCAGCGGAGGAGATAGAAGGGAGGTTCACCACAGATTTCCACCATGTCTCCTCCAACCCCGTCGACGATCGCTCCCCTCCAACGCCACCCTTTCTCAACACAGCCACCACTCCGCTCTACTCTCTCTCTCTCTCTTGTTCCATCCCTGTTAGGTGCACCCGGACCCGGTGACGATCTCTGTCACGTCGGCGGTCGCGCTGTCTGTCGCCGACACCGTGCAGCGCGAGTCAGTCCGGTTGCCTACCTCGGGCGCTGTTGACAGCCACCCCCGTGCGCGAGGAACTCATTCTCTCTCCTCTTTCTCTCTCTCTCTCACTCTCTCTCTCTATATATACATTTTACACACACTCGGTTCACTCAGTTTCTCCCCCACCCCTCTCGAATGCCAGCCGCGTTTTATCCGTCTCTTCCACGACAGTGTGGCTAGAGGGAACAACTCTGAACGTCTTCCTTTTTTCCCCCTCGCAGTGGCGAGAGAGGAGACAGTTTTCGAAAAGTAAGAAAAACGAAGACAAGTGTCGTTCCGTTCTGTGGTGTTAACAATTCTTCCAAGGATTACAAAGAAAAGAATCCTTCGTAGAGAAGTGTGTTTTACTCGCTGGAGAGATTGGTGAACTTTTTTTCTCCCCTCACGAATGGAAGCTTAAACTCGGCGAAAGTGTGTTGTTCCCGTTTTCAACCGCGGCTTCGAGGGGAATATCTAGTTTAGGCGAGAAGTGGTGACGAGGATAAGAAGAAGAGGAGGCGTACGACAGCTGCGTGTCCGAAATTGAAAATCCGAAGGGAGGTGTACAGAGAAAAGATGGCAAAACGTACAACAAAGACGACGGGTGTGTGAGAGAGGGAGGAGGGATGATCGTGGTGGACAGTCGGGCTGCAGGAAGAAATATTCCAGGGAAAAGACGTGATCTAGCGCTGCTGGTATGAACGACGAGGACAACAGTCTCGACGAGGCTAGCTGTCTCCGCGATGCTTATAGACGTGACGTGACCAGCACGTTCGTGCCCAATTCTTCACGCTCGATCCTCGTTTCTACTATCACGATGTGCACGGTGTTAAGATCCACGGTGTACCGTGACTGAGACGTGTCTCAATCGCAGTTGCAACGGAGAGAAAGGTCAGTAACGAGTTCTTCCTCACCAGACTACCTTCTCGAAACGTCTCCTCTTTACCTTTCAGATTATTCTTCGATCGTTCGTAGATACACCGTGAAAGTGTCACGTGTTTGTGATAAGAGAACGACGATACACCGTTGGAAAATACATTCTATGCTAGTGACAAAGTTCTGTATAGATGTACATATAACGTAGATTGTGTATGTGTGTAGCTTCTCCGGTAGATTGTAATTTGCTTGATTAACGAAGAACGAGGGGTGCAATCGAAGGTAGAGAGAGAGAGAAAAGTGTGACGAAGGAAGGCGGGGTCGTGCGAGAGTGGTGTGTAGACATCGAGAGGAAAATCCACGTTTGTTGGATGAAAGAGAGAACAGAGACGGTGATAAAGCGACGATAAATTCCTTCAGGAAGGTCGCCAGGAGGATTGCATAACGTCAGCCCCTCTCTCCGGCTAGCCTCAGCTCGCTCGAGTTTCCCCTTTTGTCCCTCTGTGTTTCATCGTTTTCCCTCTTGCCAGAGGAGAGAGAGAGAGAGAGAAGCTTCTCTGCTCTCCTTCAAACGATAACGAACATTCACGCCGATAGCTAATTAAAAGCTCTCCCTCGTATATACGGTGGAAGATGGATATAAAGGCTGCTGCTCCTGCTTTCTACGCTCCTCTTTCTTTCCTTTTACTTCGTTACACACACGGCTGTGTAAAGAATTTTAATTAAAAAAAGGCACCGACTAGTTCTCTCTCTCTCTCTTTTTCTCTCTCTCTCTCTCTCTCTCTTTTTCTCTCTCCGCGGTGTCGTTTAATTCACTGGACAAGGTCAGGTCTCTCTTCACCCTCTCTGGGTAGGTTTTAGAGGGGATTTCCTGCTTGCTTTTCTCCGCGACACCAGAGGGTGGAAAGAAAAGAAAAGGGGAATCAGCCCTGGGGATCGATTGTTGCCACCTTTTCTTTGTTTTACACATTTTACTGCTGCCTTCCCCAGAACTTCGTCTTGGGTGGACGTTGACCAGGACGGTGAACCTGTGATGGAATTTTTGGATGCTTAGGTGATTCGTGTGGAGAATTGGTGGGGCGAAACTAGAGTTTCTTCGTAGACGAGAATTTTAGAGAAGTTTGAGGCGCTAGATCTTGGATATGGTGGTGGTAAAGCATATTTCTTCTGATAATTGTGTACGAAACTGTACTTACGATTCGTACGACAATCTCTGATTTCGAGAATCTTCAATTTTGACGAGTTACTCTTAGGACAAATGAGAAATTTCAGACGAAGGATCACTCGGACCGAGAAATCGTGACGAATTCGCTTTTGATCAATTCGCAGGAATCGTCGAAAAGCACAATTCTTCTGATAATTGGTAGAACGATTCGTATGACAATCCCTGATTTCGAGAACCTTCAGTTTTGACGAGTTTCTCTTGGGAAATATGAGAAATTTCAGAAGGGTCACTTGTACCGATTAATCATCGCGAATTCACCTTTGATCAGTTG